CGAAAATGCGTCTCAAAATTCTTGAAAATTACTTACTCAAAGAGTTTTAAAAAATCAGAAGATTCAAATTAGTCTTGTAAAAAAATTTTTGGGCGCAGGCCCTCTTTTTCTTGGATTTCCGGGTTATGGGCTCGCAAAAACTCTGGAAAGCACCTGTAGATTTCCGGACTGTTTGCCCGATACCACGCCCTTCATTTTGATAAGATTTTGCCTCCTTCCCCGCTTCCCGAAAAGAGTTCCTGGGAATACGCCACAGCTAAACGGCTAGGCTTTGATCCCGCAGCGATTTTTGAAGTTTAGAATCTCTCTGCACTTCCACAAAGTTGCTACTTCGTAGCACATTTTTGTTCTAATGGCAACAAATGCCAATGTCAGCTTATCAAGCAGCGGCTTAAAACCACCTCGAAGCTTGCCAGAACTTTGAAGGGAAAAATTCTAGTACTAACCTTGTCAACATCCTCTTCCATGGTAACACTTATGTTGCCTTCTTCCATAGTGACATTAGCTGAGTCATCGTCCGAAAAATCGTCTCCACCTTCCTTAAAACTGCGTTTTTCACTTGATAGCAAACATTTATCCTATACCAAAAAACGCTTGCGAATTCTTCTGAAGGGGAGAAAAATATGTGAAACTGTCTTGCATATATCAAAATTATTTGGCAAAGTCCTTTAATAAGTCTTACAAAAATGTAGCAATCAGATTTTTTCCATACTATCGAGTTTTACGAAAAGACTCCTCGCAACACAACCATACTTGTTCATCAAGCTTCTTTATCTTCGTTTGACACTCAAAAAGTATTCGTGGTGACAACTTCGCGCAAGCTATATAAAAAAAATCGCAATCTAATTATTATCTCTCAAAGTGATTCTTAGCATTTCACGCTTCTCAAACGAACACCGTAACCTCCTCATTGCCATTCATTTCTCCAAGCGAGTTTTGTTCACTTTGTCGTAACACTACCAATTGTACGTTTCATTATACAAAATGCCCCAAAAGTATGCACATAATTTTCAATTTTTAGAATCTCTCTACTTTGAGTAATTCTATAAACTGCATTTATAGATTTACAGTAAATGAATCATCGGTTGACCTGGATTGA